AATTATACTTTCTGCCAAATACAGAATAATGAATCACATAGGTCCTCCTTCATTGTGTCCATATTTCAAGGGGTATAGTGGACTGAATTGAAGTTATACGATTTTCTTTAGAAACGAAGTTGATTAGGAATTAATATCTGTTTACCCATCATATGTGGAATTTAGGCTGGATAATCTATAAGACTCTGAAACTCTGGGATTCTGTGGCCACAGAGTCTCCTAGGAGGGTGAAAGTCAACCTGCACCGTGTCTCTTTTTCACCTCTTAGGTGAAGAACACCGTCAGATGCCAAAGCATGATTTCACATTACATTTTTTTAATAAGAAAATTGTATTTCTGAAAGATAGGTTGACAAAGGACATGCTGAATTTCCAAAATTAACTGTGAAAGACAGATCATCTAGGCATGACTGAAAGCCATGCATAACCTTTGTGCTCAGATACATCATTTCAAAAATGTCACTTTATGCTTATTCAATGCTACTCTCATTATTCTATTTTAAGCATTAAAATTTGTGTTCTGGAGCTGAACAGAAATTATTGCTTCTATCTTTGGGCTTATTAGAAATAATTTAGAATTCATTTAAGAGTGATAAAAATCACCTTTCCATTATGGTTGAATTCAGTTAAATGTTGAAATTTGCAATGCAATTTTCATTGTCTTTTATTAGCAGTGTTTTAGTATGTACATATGTAGTTCAAGACTATTTTTAAGTATCTTATGAAAAAACTTCATCTGAAAATGATTTTTTCCTTTACTTTTTAATTGCCTAGAGTGAGCTTGAAGTAGAATAAATTATGGGACAAGGTAGCCAAAAAAAGTCAGACTTTTCCTTATATAGAGAAACTTTCTAAAAAGCATATATGAGAGTTGAAACACATTTTCATTTCTCCACAAATTATTTACCCAATATATACACCATGGTAAAACTAGATGATGCAGGGAAAATGAAGAGAAAAAAATTTAATTGTTTAGAAAAGAAATTAATTTCTGTTTTGACTTTTCAGAGAGAAACAGGATTTAAAGTGGGGATGTGTAGTGAAAAGAAGATTTTGTAAAGGCAAAAAGCTCCCTAATCCATCTTGAAGGGATGGATCAATCATCTGTGATTTACTTGTCATTTTATTCTCTGAACTATCCTGATTCTCTCATGTCAAAATTTGGATTAATACTAAACAGAAGGAGCAGGAAAAGATCTGCTTGAATTACGTGGCTCTTCAAGCAGGGACCGGAAGAGGGAAGGAGTTGCCTCGGTAGTGGAGGGTTCCCTGGGCAAGACTGCTGGGGAATCACCGCAGCTGGTGGAGAGCCAAAGAGCAGAGCACAGTGGAACATGGAGGAAGAATGCCAAAGCAAACGACACCCCAGATGACAAACCTCAAGAAAGTGGGTCAGATTTAAGCACTAGATGCCTTGACACAACTTAGAGACTGGCTGGAGAGTCAGATCAAGAAGAATCAGAATAACAGGTCACATAGTGAAAGGGGGCTCTTGGAGGGTAAGAACATGTCTGTTTGCAGCTAGAATGTACCCTGTGACATTTTTGCAGGAGGCAGGGACAGGGACAAGAGATATTCAAAAGGCTGCCTAGGAGAGTTGTGGTAATTCCTAAAATAACAAAACCAGTCGAAGCATTCCAATACCACAGAATGAAATTAAAGCAGGTTCTTATTTTCCTACTGTAAAGGGTCTTAACATAAGGTGCTTAGTAAGCACACTATTTACTTGGCTCAGGCACTTGCAATAAAATAAGTGGTTAATTTAAACCTCAGGAATGCATTATTTCTTAGTTCTTGAGGCTACAAGTCCAGAATCAAGATGCTAGCATGGTTGATTTCTGGGGTGGGCTATTGCATGTGGACTGAATATCTTCTCTCTGTGTTCCAACATGGCAGCGGTGGGAGATTTTCCTTATAATCACATCATGAGAGCCCCATTCTCATGACCTCATTTGAACCTAATTATCTCCCAAGTCTCCATCTCCAAATGCCTCATATTGAGGGTTAGGGCTTCAACAAATTAATTTTATTTGTTGTTGTTATTGGGAGGAGGAACACAATTTGGTCAATAGCAACTGTCAACTTTGATCATCTCACAGTCACCATAAGAGTCCTAAAGTGTATTTGGTTTTCCTTACAGACAATATCTATAATTGGTTTGACATTGAAATTGACCTGACAGTATAAATTGTTTGCCCAGACTCTTTCTTATTATTTCTACCGTAATTCTGAGTATGCTGTATTGCGGAGGGGGGGGTGGGAATCTCCAATAATTTCATAGATATGAAAGGTTTACCCCCACACACATTTGTTCTCTGTTTATTTTGGCAAATAAAATGAAGTGTCATTTGCTCACACTTTGCATACGACCCCCAGCATTGGTCTTACCCACTCCAAGGCCATCTTCTAATCTCTGTGGGAAAGAGAAACTTTGTCTTCAGGCTTGTGCAACTAATGCTGCTTCCATGAATACCACACTACACCCAGATCTACCATTGATGACTTATAACTTAAGAAAGAATAATGAAAATCACATTCTAAATATGATTGCTCCCATACATGGGAGTTATTAATCTTATGGAGAACACACCTTAATTCTTAGACTCAGGTTAACCATCTATTCAGAGCACCTCACTACTCAAACTCCTCTTCTCTAGAAACCCATCCTACCACACACCATTCAACAACTAAATAGTGGCAACTATTTTCTCAGAGTCTGAGTTTCTTAATTTAGAGTGATTTTTTATGGTTAAGGATGACAGGAAACAAGTTTTAAAGAATGGTCTAGGTGTTATTTTTTCCCCCTCTTAATCCTGATCCTTTCAAAATTCTTTCATTGCTAAGCCAATCATCTTCATTGATATATAGTTTTACTCTATTCCATCTCATAACTCCAACTCATAATTTTGTATATAATCTGATGACTTATTTAAATTATGTGAAAATTAATGTACTCCATAGATTTCAAAACTAGTAAATGGATGCTACTAGTTTTGTAGGGAAGATCTTTGGTTGCTTTTCTTCTTCCTAAAAATGAATTAACTGAATAGTTTTCACCTCATTATGTCTCTAGGAACTTACTTTGGACACTAAAGGACTTCATTGCTCTAGCCCCCTTGGAAATGACATCAAAATATTTGCTAGTATAGGCTAAAGGAAAAGTCTAGATACATTAAAAGTTTTTCTCTTCAAAAGTTGTTTGATTGTACTGAGTATCATCATAGCCATGATGAAACAGAACATTTGAAATCATTAAAATCAAGTGAAATAGTCACTGCTAGAATATTTAATGGTTTCCATCTTGTTATAGGCATGAATGATGCATACAGTAGTCACCTAACTAATCCTTAAGCACTTTCTTCTCCTGGGCCACAAGTCATATGCTACTTGAAAAAAAACAAAGGGGAGCTTAATAGTTTCCTGATTTATGCCTTGAGACTCCGCTCTTTAGGATGAAAACAGTGGGGAAGACTAATTATTTCCCTAAGGTTAGCACCTATAAGTTAAACTGTCAACTTCCACTGTGTTCTACCATCTAGTGTAAGCAGCTACATTCTGTCACATTGCATAATGATGATAATCATTATAATCACATATCAACACAATGAGTTAATGAGATAATAACAAGACTCCAGTGCCTTCCCTGCATGCTAAACAATTGATTCCAGTCACAGACATTTGTCAGCTTGTTCCACCTAACTGGATGATGCCAAAAGTGTACGTTCTGTCCAAAGAGGGGGCTTCCAGCAGGCAGTGAGATGCACTAGTACACACATCTGCTATGAATTTTCAGTAGTTATTCTTGAAGATTTTTGCGTCATTCCCTGGGTTCCTCTTTTAAAATTCTCCAGGAAGTTCTGATGTGTCATCCGAACATATCTAATAAAGTTTCTCCAAGACAGCATTTAGGATATCATACAAGATCTTATGAACAAAACCAGACAAATACACCATAATCAACAATACCTGGAGATTTAGAGATTAACTTGTCTAGCCTCATAAGATTTTTACATCAATTTCCCCTAAAGTATCAAATCCATCTTCATAGAAGCTATTTATTTGAACCAAGACAGAGATTAAGTAAGTATAGCAGGCTAGGAAATGTTTATCCTAAATGAAAGCAAGATGTGATCATGGGAACAGCCATATCAGTCAAAGGGCTCAATGAGTCTATGGTATTTTTGTGAACATTTGTGCTTATACACACTAGATTTTAAAAATTCTATTTCTTTCTCAATCCTTGCAGTTTTTGTGAGGTTTGTGATTGCTGTCATGCAACAAGCTTCATCTGAAGTTTCTATTTAGAAATTCCAACTCAGGTGAATACTCCTGACGTTAATGTATTTATTGGCATTGGAGTATTAATTAGTCTGAAGATGATAATTCTTATTCTGTTTGTTAGTCATTTTTATAGCTCTGACCAAATACCTGATGTGAACAACTGAGAAGAGGAAAAGTTTATTTTGAGCTCAAGGTTTCAGAGGTTCGGTCCCTGGTTGGCTAACTTCATTGCTCTGGGCTCAAGATGAGGCAGAACCTTGTGATGGAAGAAAGTTATGCAGCCAGGAAGCAAAGGAAGAACATGGGGAACCAGGGGCAAAATATATAATCTCTAAGGCATATACAGTGCCCCGTTTCTTCCAGCCACACCTCACATGCCTAGAGTGACCACCTTTCAATCAATGAATCATTAATCCTTCAAGTAGACTAACACACAATTGGTTTCAGCTCTCCCAATTTAATCATTTCACTTCCTGCCTTAACACAGGAGCTCTGGGGAGAGACCTGACATCTAAACCATAATGTTCTGCCATCATCTCTTTCTAAATATGGGAAACATTTGATTCTAAGGTTGATTTTTAGTCTAAGCCTCAAGCTAGAAATGAAGTTGGCTCTCCCTCCCATCAAATTTATAGCAATAAATAACAATAGGAGTCATTTTGGAAAGCTTTCCTATTGTATTCATCTACTTTACTATTTTTGTTGTTGTTGTTCTTTTAGTGTCTGCCAAACCAAGACCCCACAGTGATGAATATTCAAAGAAGATTCCCCCTCCGAAACCTAAACGGAACCCAAACACTCAGCTTAGCACGTCCTTCGATGAAACGTACATCAAAAAGCACGGGCCCAGGAGGACATCGCTGCCTCGGGACTCCTCCCTGTCCCAGGTCAGCACCCCGGCAGGAGACCCTGAGGAGGAGGAGCCCGTGTACATCGAGATGGTGGGGAACATTCTCAGAGACTTCAGGAGAGAGGACGACGACCAGAGCGAGGCCGTCTACGAGGAAATGAAATACCCCATTTTCGACGACTTAGGCCAAGATTCCAAAGGCGACTTTGACCATCACAGTTGTTCTTCGCAGTGTGCTACTCCCACGGTGCCTGACTTGGACTTCGCCAAGTCCTCAGTGCCATGTACTCCTAAGGGTTTGCTTTGTGACATCCCCCCGCCCTTTCCTAACTTGCTGTCTCACAGACCCCCTCTGCTGGTGTTCCCGCCAGCCCCTGTGCACTGCTCCCCCAATTCCGACGAGTCTCCACTAACCCCGCTGGAAGTCACCAAGCTTCCCGTGTTGGAAAATGTGTCTTACATGAAACAGTCCGCGGGAGCCTCTCCATCCTCCCTGCCATCTCACACCTCCGGCCACTCGAAACTGGAGAAGGACCAGCCAGGAGCCCTGGGACCTGCCTCTGCCACGTCTGTGCTCTCCTCGTCCCCGCCGCCTCCTTCCACTTTGTACCGAACGCAGTCTCCCCATGGCTACCCTAAAAGTCACTCCACCTCACCCTCGCCTGTCAGCATGGGCAGGTCCCTGACCCCGCTGAGCCTCAAGAGGCCTCCCCCCTACGACGCCGTGCATTCAGGAAGCCTCTCCAGGAGCTCTCCCTCAGTGCCTCATTCCACCCCCAGACCCGTGTCGCAAGATGGGGCCAAGATGGTCAACGCTGCGGTGAACACCTACGGGGCGGCTCAGAGTGGCTCTAGGTCCAGAACACCCACGAGTCCTTTGGAAGAACTCACCAGCCTCTTTACCTCAGGACGCAGCCTGCTGAGGAAGTCATCCAGTGGCCGACGTTCCAAGGAGCCAGCAGAAAGTAAGTGTGCAAAGTCCACGTGAGCCAGAAAGTCTGGTGCATGACCCAGAAACACAGCAGGCCCCTAGCATGCAAGTAAAGCGCCCAGAGCAGGCTGTTTGGTCCTTTTAGTTCAAATGTCAAAATGCAAAATGCACTATTTTGCTTTTGGCATTCTAAACAAAATGGGGTATTCTGAATATGGATGGAAAGAATGAAAAATGGCAATTTGCACAATATAATATCCTATGTAAAGTGAAGAGGGATTTTTTTTTTCAAAGAAAAGAAAGTGTAAAATCTAAATTCTAACAGTGGGTCTCAAAAGTTTAACAGAGAAAGCAAAGACTACTATGGATTCTTTTTGGTGGGAGGGAGTTTTAGTATTTTGTTTTGTTTTGTTATACATGACAATAGGATTCACTCTGACATAATTATAAAAGCTTAGAATACAATTGGTTCTAATTGTGGAATTTCTAGATAAAAATCTTGATTTTATAGGAAAAATTAATCACATATTGAATTATTAAATTTTACAACTTACCCTTTATTTAATATTTAAGTCTGTATAAAAAAAAAAAAAAAAAAACCTTGTGGAAAAGAAAGCAATTTGGATAGAATTTAGAACTTTTTTTTTAACATAGGAAGATCATCTCTGCATACTATGTGTTGTTTTATTCTTTGAGTCACTGTAAACCAGAACATACTCATTGCTTTCCTTTTAAAAGCCATATTAATTCACATCTTATATTTTATGGTACTCTTCCTGGATCTATTGATAGATGCAGAAAAATCACTATAAATGCTATTTTGACCACTTACTTTAAATACCAGAAAACTTCTCTATCTAAATGAATAACCCTTTTATAAGCCCTAAATAAATTACAAGTACACAGTAAATTCAAAATAGATCCAGGTCCATTTTCTCCATGTCTAATTTCTTAAGTTACACTAACTTCTTAAAAATGTCTTACACAACTCAAGGGATAATTAATTATTTACACCTCAAATGATCCTACCTCATGATATTTTTTATCTATTAATACAGTCGTACTGAGGACTTTCCTTAAAGGAAAAGAGATCTTTAATAGTTTTTGATGATAATGGTGATGACAGCATTCTCAGTTAATATTGATTTGTAGTTATAAGCCACTTTTTCTGTCTTTTATTCACTTTTTTCTTTTACCTTGAGAGATTTATGAAAGCATTAGCTACTTAAATAATTATCCCCCAAACATTGTACTTGTCTAAAGGCAGCACTTTCTAATGCTCTAGGCATGCCTGGATTTGCCTTTATATAGACATACAAAAAGTTGTTTCAAATTATTTTAAGACTTGAATTTAAAGCTAGGAGCAATCTCTTTCTAGAGCAATATTTCCCAGTGAAGACAGTTTTGCCCTGAAAACAGGGATATTTGGCTATGACTAGGAACATTGTTGGGTTGTCAAAATAGGAGTGCTAATGGCATCTAATAAAGCCGGTTATCCATGAAATAGTACACATACACACAAAAATAAATTAATAAATAGGCAAACAGATAGATAAATAAATAAATAAATAAATAAATAAATAAATAAATAAATAAAAGATTATCTGATCCACAATAAAGACAGTATAAATGTTGGGAAACCTGGTCTAGAAAATTTATTAAAATTTAAAGTTTCCTTAACTTGATTGGTTTGGTTTTCATATAGATCAAGTATGTATTTTAGAATAAAAGGCAACAGGTGAAGAAAAATGTTTTGTTTTAAAATACATAATTGTTAGTGTGAAATTAATGGAATTTTTATCTTAGAATTGTTGGAACTATTTAATTTCACCCTACCTATCAGCTTCTTTGAAGAATTCTAAGCATCTCCAGCTGGCAGTTATGCCAATTAGCTAGAAAAAGTATATGTAAAAGAATTGATTAACTAATGAAGTTATTTCTAGAAAAATCCATCTGTTAGAATCAGTCTATGGGCTGTATGTCACAAAATCCTCTATTCAGAGCTCCATGTGCTTCTAAAACAAAGGTTGTACATGGAAACATGATCCAGATTCTTTACAGCTTTTTGGGAGCTCAGGATTGGAAACCTTCCCGTGGACTATTAACCACGTATCAACCCTTTAGAGAAGTGGCTTGCCCTGAGTTACATTAGCATTGGTATATTAATTTATGTAAGTGAGAGGGAGGAAAAACACAGATAGTACATATGAATAATCCAAGCATTACTTTCTTTTGACTTCAGAGGAAAATAGATGCCATCAGATACTAACAAAATCATAGGCAAGCTCAGAAACATTCTCAAATGTAAAAGATTGGACTAAAACCTCAGATAACTGAGCATTAACTCCTAATTGCTCTCATAGTATACTCAGTGATACAACTCTTTCCTGTTTTTCTTGCCTGATAGGATACCTGTTGATACCTTAGCGTCAGAATAAGTGACAAGAAATAGTATTTTATTCATAATTCTTGAGTTTCATTTTTTTTAACGTTTCAGAATTTTTTGTTTACATTTCATGGATAAAAGTGAACAGGGTATGTCCCCTGTTCATTCAGTCTACCTTTGCTTTTTGGAAAAGTCAATTTTGATAACTTCCTGGCATTCTGCCTGAAACAAATATAATCTTTGTTTTAGCTGAAATAATCAATCTCAAAATTTATACCTTCTATTATTATTTTTAATAATCTATAAAAGGCACACCTAATGTGATATTTTTATATTTAAAAGGTCACGATTATTACTGGGCATTATGAAAGAGAATAAGACAAAAATGGTAAATTATGAATAAATTCCATTTTGCTTCACAATTTTCTAAATATGATCTTCATATTAATTGTTATGGAAATCAGCTTTTCCCTGGTTGCTGCAATATTATAATGTTAATTAAATCAGGACATTTGATAATCTTTATAATAATTTTTCTTTTATTTGGTTATCAATGTATTTTTAAATTTGTGCAGAGAGATGGATTATGTGACACATACAAGTAGTGATACAACTCATATGTTGCTACTGTAGATATTTGTGTCCTCCTAAGAAGTAGGCCAGGTACAAATATGTTTTTTGAAAACCTAAGTGACAATATTTTTTGACCCATTTTGTTTACCCTCCTTATACATCTTTTTATTTTATGTATCCTTTATGATTTGATTTGAATCTTTGAACATGTAAGTCATGAATGGGACACTTTATTTTAATAAATCATGTGCCATGAAAAATAAATATGCAGGACCAAATGGAAAAAAAAAAAAAAAAAGAGGAAACCTTCTCTTTTTTTTCTCATCTTAGTACATTTTGTGCTACTATAATAGAATACCTGAGACTGATCCATAAAATCAGAGAGTTATTTGGTTCATGGTTTTGGAGGCTGGAAGGTCCAAGAGTATGGCCAGCACCCAGAAGGACCTTTGTGCTGCCTCTTCCCGTGGTTGAAGGTGGAAGGACAAGGGAGGGTGAAAGCAAGAGAGCAACACAGAGCCAAACTCACTTTTATACAAATCTGCTCTCAGGATAACTAACCCACACCTGTGAAAATGGCTAAGTCCACTCATTAAGCAGAGCCTCCTCCCTAATCACCTCTTACTGGGTGCTGCTTCCCTACACTGGTACGGCAAAGATATCCTTTAAAATACACATTTAATATACATTTAATATGACATACTGTATAATATCTGTTTTTATACAGGATGCATTGTCCCATTTTTTAGAAAATGAAGAGTCTCTTACTATGCTGTAGTTCTCTTGATAATTCAGGTTCATTGTTCTGATAGTTGTGTGCCTACTATGTGCTAATGCAAAGTGTGTAGCAAGGTGTCTCAGACACCCTCCTTGGAGGCTGTCATTGTTCAAGTCATTGGTAAGGAGGAGATTCAGTGTTAAACAGCCCCAGGGCTTCTTGAGGTATTAGAGCCCAGTAGCCTATTTCTGCCATTTAAATTAAATTCTTATGTCTGTTTCTTATGGTTTCCCCACCTCCTTTCTTGCTGGTGGTGTTATTGATACATCTAGACTTGCTCCCCTTTTTACCCTTTTCTTCATTGTAATATCACCCAATTCATCACCAGGGGACCAAGAAACCAGGTACTCAGACTTGTCCTAGGAGTCTCTCAACTAGTTAAGTATGTGGACTCCAGTGTAGAGACTGTGTGAGCTTTACTTTTAAAGCCTACTTTAACCCACTATTGAGTCGCAAGTGAACTTCCTGGATTCACACTGAGAGATTAGAAATATCAGCTTCCCCCAAAGTAAGCTGCTCTGGGAAACATGTAAAGATTTTTGGTTTATTTTAGGGACATCTACAACATTTTGCTTAGTCTACTTAATACTTATGTTCATTGGAATTTAGTAAAATAGTTAAGGACTTTCCTTACCTCCTTTCCTTTCCTGTGAAAGCAGGTGTTCCCATAGAGTGGGCAGGACAAAGTCAGGTGTCGAAAAGCCCAAGGGAAGAGTGGAGACTGTACATGACAATTTTAGAACTGTCAGGGGCAAAGGACAACAGGTGAACCTTCATCCTGTGACAGCCCACCAATAAGCATGTTTGCTTGGAGCAGGACTTGTGGACACATGGTGACTTGGAGCCACCTGACCAGAGCTGGGGGATAGAGCTGGGACCACTGGAACTCTGAGTTTCTTCAAAGATGGTAGGGAGTTATATTATTATATAACTCCCTTTATATCTATATTCAGAAAAACACCTGATGAGATCTCCAAGGATACTTTGAAGGGAATTCCAGAAGGCCTGGTAGGACTAAGGCCTGTTAGTTTTGTTAAACATTTTAGGTAAAGATGCTACCCTTTCAGGAACCCTCTCTTGCTGTTTCTTGGTTGCCTCCCAGGCTTTAAGTCTCACACTGTGGCCTCAAACTGTTTCCTGCCTTAGCAAGGCACTTTCTAGCAACACAGACTGGAAATCAAGCCACAAACTGGGTTTTGATGTTGCTTTTAGGCCTGGACCTTGGGGACATTTTCAGATTACAGAGAAATTCCTCACATAGTTTAAATCATGATAGACAAATGACATAGAAAATGTG